CTTCAGTGTTGGGGGGGTGGCAGATGCTAAAAAAAAGTCTAATCCAAGCCTCCCTAAATAATTTTTCTTCAGAAATTGATCAAAGGCTGGGAGGGGGGGGGGGTGAGGGGGCAGCGGCCCCCCTGGCCCCAACAAAGCTCCGCCATTGACCGTGATCAAGATGTTTGGAGCGGAATACTTGAGAGAACCAACTAACAAAGACACCACATGACTCATGGCATTGTCGTAAGCAAGAGGTTGGCTAGGTATGCTACAATCCCTTGATTGCATGCACTGGCAATGGAAAAATTTGCCCATATTCTCTACAAGGGCAATATCAGGCCCATTACAAAAACCCGCCATCATTCTTGAAGTAGTTGAATCACAAGAATTTTGTATTTGGTACCCTTTCTTTGGGATGCTCAGGTCTCGCAATGACATCAATGTGCTGCAACGTCTCCATTATTTGCAAGGTTGTGTGTGGGACAAGCTCTTTCATGCAACTACACCATCAATGGTCATGAGTACAACATGGGCTATTATCTTTGTGATGATATCTATCCTTCGTGAGTGGCCTTCTTCAAGACCATATATGATCCAGTGGGTGAGAAAAGTGCTTACTTTGCCCAAAGACAATAAATGTGCTAGCTAGAAAGGATGTCGAGAGGGCATTCGGAGTGCTTCAAGCCCGTTTTGCAGTTGTTCCTAGACCTACATATGGGATCCACAGACGTTGTGGGAGGTGATGACAACTTGTGTGATTATGCCCAAACATGATTGTGGGGGATGAAGGTGACGAAGTTCGCCACGGTCGTTAATTTAAGCATGTGGGTGATTCTATACAACTTCCAAAGCAGAACCCAACAATGTTCGAGGATTTTATCCAAATGCATCAACAGATTCATCATCGAGCAACTTTAGATCTGGTTGAGCAGAAAATTAAAAAAATATTTGAATAAGTTAAATTTAAATTTAAACTATTTTATTGGAAACCCTCATGTTTGGATTGTATAATTATATTTGAATTATTGTTGCATTGAAATATTTGCGCAACATGATTATGGACGAAAGATGATATTTATCTTTAATTATTTTAAGTGCTCTAAATTTATGAGAACAAAACAGAGACGAACATTGATGTATAGTGTTGGATGGCCGTCTCCCATTTTTGTGTCCACGGACTCGTCCGGACGTGCCCTTGGACGTTTGATGTATCCATTATTATGGACGGCGGTGGAGATGCCCTTACATTCCAAGCTTGTCAGATAAGAATGTTTGCACATTCTTACTTGGATAAGAATCATATGGCAAGTTCGCAAATAACCCCAATTAACTTAGATCCTAAAGCTATAGAACCCCACATGATATAATCGTGCGTTTGACAACCTTTATCCTGATTTCACGGATTAGGAGATTGGTGTTCAGTCAGATTATCACCAGTTCACTACAAAGACATGGTTTAAAACAGACTTTGTCATTATATCTGCACTATATTCTGCGCGGATCATAATAGTATTTGCACTACTTGTCAAACTGTTTACACATCAGCAAGAAATCACGAGAAAGTGCGAGAAAACTGGTGTGTTGGGTGAAATCGACCTCTGGACTTCTAGAAGCTAGTTTTGTACACAGCCGCTACGCGCGCGCGTCTTGCACGCACGCGTCACGATCGAGCCGCGAAGGCCTCGGTCCCCGCGATGACGGCGACAAACCCACCGCCAGGCGCGCCCTGCCCGCCGACCGCCGTGGCGCGCTTCCTCAGCTCCGGTGGCCTCAGCGCGCAGGCGCCGAAGTCGCACGGCCCGTTCTCGGCGATGGTCGCCATCGCCGGCCCCTTCCTCCGAGCCGGCACGATCGCCGGCGCCACCGGACTAAGGCGGCCCTTCTTTGCCGCCCCGACATCCGCCGGCTGATCGGCCGTCGCCACGCGGCGCTGCTTCGTCGACCCGGCGCGGACGAGGTCGTCGGCGCGGTCGGAGCTCGTCCACAGGTGCACGGCCGTGGCCGATCTGACAAAGCCGGAGCCGCGGCCGCCTGCCACCGCCCCCGCCGGCACGCGGGTGGCGCACCCGGACATGCCGCGCACGTAGAGGTCGCAGGCCGAGTCGCACGCCCGCGACAGCGCGCGCATCGGCGCCCCGATGCAGAGGCACCCGCCCGTCTCGCTGCCGCCGCCCTTCGTCATCTGCTGCGTACTGGGAGCGTGGAGGTTGCTTCCGACAATGAAAAACAGACGGAGCGCTACTGGTACTGGTACTGGCTAGGTCGTCGAGGTTTCTTTGCTCTTTATAGAGCCAACTCGACGGACGTCGCCGTTATCTCTGGGCTGAGAATCGAGCACCCGATGATGGGGTTCACACCGGGTTGCTTGTGCAGTCGAGGTGCCTGGTTTTAAATATTTAGAGAATTGTTTTGTTAACCCACCGGGTAAGCGGTTTTTAGTACAGGCGGTAAGGGCGAAATGGTCAGGATGCACATGTATCTGATGTATTTTGGGGCCATAGGCTGACAGGGGAGTTGAGCCGGCCAAGTCTCACGAGCGCAGACGCGCTGCATCGGGTGGTGCCGGGTGCACGCATATGTAAGCCGGAGTTGATACCATTTGTTTTTCTGTTAACAAAACCAGTCGGCCTACTAACTTGGGATTTTGACGTGCTAATTAAGCTTAGCAATCGCCGTTGCTTGTGTCAACGATGCAATTGTAAAAGAGAGCCAGCGAGCAACCGCGGGAAAGATAGCGACTTCTTCCCGACTAATCGTGTTCCCTGACAGAAGCGCTGGCCGTGAGTCAGCCGTTAATTCTGACAATGGTGGCATTTTTCTTTGGAAAATGGACAATGCTGGCAATTTTATTTATTTATTTAACTTACAATGGTGGCAGCTGGGAAAGAGAGAAAGGTACTGTCATATCAATACATCATGCTTAAGCAAAATAGAGAGTGACCGCGTTAAGTCATGAAGTTATTCTCCGGAAAAAAAAAGTAATGAAGAACTTAGCGCTGGTGTTTTGTGCAATGCAAGTAAGTAATGCATTTGCTTTTTAACATCAATGAGGGTCCGGATGGACCTAGGTAAAAGTGGTTACTGCACAACTATTACAAGGAACCTACAGAAATATAAAATTAGGCACTGGTCCTTCCTTTATGCATAAAGATCCTTGGATGGAGAACTAATAATACAATTGAGTCCACGTGACGATGCCAACCTTGTTAGAGTCGGTGGAGCCGGCGATGCCGACAAACACCACCTTGTCATCACTATTCTTGAGAATGTGATCACGAGACTTGCTAGTCATCACTACTCTTGAGAATGTGATCACGAGACTTGCTATGAATTTCCACTATGGGGGACAACGGTTGGGGCATCCCTGTCTTGGAGGTTCAAGTAAGATGTGCACGGGATCGGTGCCAAGCCAACGATCAACCCAAGAAC